TATAAAAATAAAATAAAATGAAAAGTAAATAGAAGGAAAATATAAGAATGAAATAAAAAAGCTACATTGTAAAGCGATTTAAGATACTAAAAACAGGAACATGTCTGTGTTGGTTTTTGCCATGAACTTAGATGTTTAAAGTTCCTAAGGTCGAGAGCTTCACATTTTTTTATAAGATATTCCATGAAACAGGAGCAGAGTAGGAGAAGGCCCGTTTGCTTAGTTCAGTCCGCACTGAGGGAACACTGCAGGTAATAATGTCCTGAGAGCGCACGCTGTAGCTGCACTCACGCAGAGACATGTAGGAGGAGATGTATGAAGGCAACAGACCAAGAAGTGATTTAAAGATGAAAATGTACCAATGAGAGAGTCTGCGTGAAGATAATGATGACCAGTTAACCAGTGAATACAGGGAACAGTGGTGGGTACGATAGTTACAGCCAGTTATGAATCTTAGTGCACCATGATCAGAGTCAGAGTCAGAGTCAGAGTTTCTTTATTGTCATTCGCACCTCATGTGGTACATGTGGTGGAGCGAAATTATGTACACAGGGTCCCAGTTACATCCAACAATAAAATGTATAAGAAAAACAGTAATAACATCTAAGATATGAACTAAGAAAAACATCAACTAAATATACACTAAGCACTAATAACATAAAACATTGAACATCAGCACAAACATGAACATGAGTCCGTGAACAGATGTGCACGCATGAACACACCAACATTGAAACAGATCAGCAGCAACATTGAAACAGATCAGCAGCAACATGAAACAGATCAGCAGCAACATGATATGGTTTTTCACAGTGATTATTCTAGTTAGAGATTCATGAGTCTAACAGCCTCAGGGTAGAAGCTGTTCCTCAGTCTAGTGGTTCTACACTTAATGCTCCTTAACCTCCTTCCTGAGGGGAGTGGGGCAAAAAGTGTGTGTGCTGGGTGGGTGGGGTCCTTCATGATGCAGGTGGCCCTCTTCCTGCATCTGGAGGTGTAGATGTCTGTGATGGTGGGGAGGCTGATTCCGACAGATTTCTGTGCAGCCTTCACCACTCTCTGCAAAGCTTTTCTTTCTGCAGCTGTGCAGCCTCCATGCCACACATTGATGCTCGAGCACAGGATGCTCTCCACTGCACACCTGTAGAAGGAGGTGAGGACTGAGCTTCCCAGACCAGCTCGCCTCAGCCGTCTGAGGAAGTAGAGTCTCTGATGAGCTTTCTTGATCAGGCTGGTGGTGTTGTTGCTCCAGCTGAGGTTGTCATTCATGATAGACAGTGTCCAACATCTGCAGGGTGCTTGTAGGAGCGTTCATGTAAATGATGTCACCGTAATCAATGGAGGGAAGGAAAGTAGCAGTTACAAGGTGTTTCTTAACATTCAGAGTTAGACAGGATCTATTTCTGAAAAAGAAACCCAGTTTCACTTTCAACTTCTTTACTAAGTTTTCGACATGAGTCTTAACAGAGAGATGTGAATCGATCAAAATACCCAAATATTTATAAGAATTGACAAACTCAATAGAAACACCATTCGAAGATTAAATAGAAGGAAGAACTGCTGGGACCGACTTCCTGTTTGAAAACAACATCCCTTTGGTTTTATCAGCTTTTAGCACCAGTTTGAGATGGAACAAATCTGACTGGACGATGTCGAAAGCAGACTAAAAGCTGGAAAACCTTAGCGACCGTTTTAGCTCGATAATAAACTACTGTGTCGTCAGCATACAAATGCAAGGACGCATCAGAAATGATCTGACCGAGTACAAGTTGTGTTTACTTGTCATATGCAAGGTTCACAGTACGATGAAATGCTTAGAATGTGAAGAACAGATTTGATCTGCTAAAAATATCAAAGAACAAACAAACAAGAAATACTAAAAGCATGCAATAAGGGTACAAAAATAAAGTACCAAAAAGTGAAAAGGTAACTATGATATTTTCAACGTCCTAAAGAGTGATAGTAAGCATCAAAATGGTAGAATGGTTGCAAGAAAGATGCATTTGAATGAGTAAGTATTTCAAGGTAATAATATAAGCTAAAATGCACATGATGTACTGTATAATGTATAGTATAGTGCACATAATTAACATATAGTACACAGATTGTGTGAAATGTAGGGACATTGAGATTGAATTATGATAGTAAGGTAGATACATAGATACTGTATCATTCATGATACAGCCTAGTATCAGTCTAGATACAGCCACATAGTGCAGCAGCAATAAACAATAAGCACATCAGTTGTTACAGATGTGGCTTGGTGCAATGTTATTGCCGGTTGTTCAGTGTTATTTATCAAGAGTTCAGTAATCTCACAGCTTGTGGATAATAGCTGTCCTTTAGTCTTTTTGCATGTGATGAAAGACTCCTGTATCGTCTGACTGAGGATAGTAGACGGAAGAGTCCTTGTGCTGGGTGGGTGTGGTCCTTAATGATGCTGCGTGCTTTATGCAGACATCAACTGTGGTAGATGTCCTGGATGGTGTGGAGACTGCTACCAGTGATGTCCTCTGTTGTTTACACCACCCTCTGTAGTGTTTTCTGGCTCTGACTGGTGCAGTTCTCATACCACCCTGTGATACAGCTTGTCAGCAGGCTCTCAATGGTGCACCTATAAAAGTTGGTGAGGATGCTGGTGTTCATACCAAACTTCTTTAGTCTGCTTAGAGTCTTTGTCAGGCTTTCTCAATCACAGTCTCTGTATGTAAAGTCCAGGACAGATCCTCGGTAATGTGAACACCGAGGAACTTGGAGCTGCTGACTTGCTCCACCTCAGCATTGCTTTTGGTGATGGTGGGGTGCTGACCTCCAAGCTGTTTCCTGAAGTCCACGGTCATTTCCTTTGTTTTGCTGACATTTAGAGAGAGGTTATTTTCCTGACGCCTACATTACATGACCTACATTACTGATGGAGATTGTGAAGAGGGTAGATCCTAAGACTGAACCTTGTGGTACACCAGTGTTGACAGATAGCTGGAAGAAGTACCATTATTTTGAGCACATTGCCTCCAATCTGAGAGATAATTAGAGAACCAACCAATAGTGTGATCTGAGAAACCAATTTCTGAGAGCTTAGATAACATTGTAGTTGTATGTCTATATAGATAACCTTCACCATTACGTCAGCAGTTGATAAATGTCAGTGGCTTTAGTTGTGTTGGCCGGAGCGATGAGAGATTCAGGAAGCCAGTTTAAACATGCGTCCTCAAACGTGTCATGCTGAAATTATGCAGCAAATTATCCTGATACATGCTCAATGCATCATGCAGTAAATTCATCCAACACATACTGATATTCTTCAATGCATGAGAAAATTATGCAAAACCAATCTAATATGTATTATCAAACTTTACTTTGTGAGACTTCAGAGGTTTAAACTCAAAACTTCCTTCTAGATGTGTTACTCAGAGTTTTTGAAGAACTTTAAGGAGCTTCAAAATAAAATCATGATTACATCCACCCGTCAATAACATCTGTTAAAATAGACACATTTGCTGTTTTTTTTCCCTAAATATAAGCCATGATTTCCTTGCAGTATAACTTTTTTTGTTTTGTTTGATGCTGGTTTAAATTCCAGTGATGTATATAATGTAACAAAATAAAGTTGACAACACAAAACAAAATAAATTAGGTTCACTTACAATTTGTTGTTTTATTTTATAGTTTACATTTTTCATCTCAGTGAAACTGTTTCTTATTGGGTAACAAAACGGAGAGGTCCAACATTAGCCATTGTATCCAATCTTATGCTCATCCATCCATCCATACATCCATCCAACCACCACCATCTATCCATCCATCCATCATCCATCTATCCATCCATCCATCCATCATCCACCGTCCATCCATCCATCCATCCACAAATCCAAACATCCATGCATACTTACATACATACAACCACCATCCATCCATCTATGTACCATCCATCATCCATCCATCCATCCATCCACCCATCCACCCATCCATCATCCATCCATCCATCCATCCAATCACCATCCGTCCATCCATCTATTTATCCATCCATCTATTTATCCATTCATCCATTTATCATCCATCCATCCATCCATCCATCCACCATTATCTTTACCCACTTCTTCCTTTTTGGGCCACGGGGGTCACTGGTGCCCATGTCCAGCAATCACTGTGTGAGAGGCAGGGTACACCCTGGACAGGTCTCCAGTCCATCCCAGGGACACATAGACAAATGAAATGAACAACCATTCACTCTCTCACTCACACCTAGGGACAATTCAGAGTTACCAATCAGCCTAACATGCATGTTTTTGGTCTGTGGGAGAAAACGGGAGTACCTGGAGAAAACCCATGCATGCACGGAGAGAACGTGCAAACTCCACCCAGAAAGCCCCCCGTTGAAATTAAACCTGGAGATCTTCTTGCTGAGACACAACAGCTCTACCAAGTGTCCCGCCCAAAACTTTATGTAAAAGAACTGAAATATTTGTATTTATTTATTTATTTATTTATTTATTTATTTCAAAAACTACAAAAACTGGAAGCTATAATAAGTTTTTGGACAAGTTGTTCACATTTAACTTTGTTTTGTTGCTTGATCACTGCTACCTTGACCTTTTTGTACTCAAAGGGGAAAGTTTGACATTGACCCAGAAAAGCTATTTATAAACAGATTTGTGTCTCTAAAATCTACAGCCTCCTTCTTCTCTCTCTCTCTTTGACCACTGACATTACCACTGGTATTATTAAGGTGTAAATATGTTGTACTCAACCACGTTGCTTCATCTGTTCTTGTTGATTTTTGTCCATTTTTGATGAAGAAGGTAGTTAAAACCAGACATCTTAAATAAATCTGGAAAGTAGTTAATTACTCACATGTTGACCTGGTAATGTTTAGAACCTATAATTAATTCATTATTTAATCTGCTAACACACACACAGATATAAAGAGAGAACTGAAGGGAAGAAGTAACTGTATATTGGTTTGTGTCTTAATATTTATTTTCATTGTATCATTTCTAAAGGTAACCACCCCAGGAGATGACGAGACCAAACTGACAGTGAGTTGTTTTGTACGTCTCTGAATATAGATGTCTCTGTGTTGTTGAGATACCTACATGTGCTGCAGATGTCTTTTTGCTGCACTAACCAGATAGGTTAGACAACAATCTACTGGTTTTATTAAATGCAAAAAGAGCAAATGTGTGAAAACACAAGAAAACAAGGCTAGATGCATTGATTTAGATGCACCGTATGTGACTATTTTAACATTTTTTGGTTTGTTATTCCACAGGCCAAACCGAGGCTGCAGAGGGAAGGCAGCTGTGCTTCTCTACACAACTCTCTGATGAGAAACAGCATCTTCCAGCTCATGATTCACACACTGGACCCCCTCAGTAATGAAGGTACGTCAGCCCCAGGATACACACCCATCACACATTCTCTCATCTTGAAATTGTCAGCGATTTAAAGTCACCATTTATGCAGTTTCACTTGATTTGCCTTTCCCTCCTGCCCTCCCCTTCATCCTGATTTTACTGCTTTGCCTCTCATGCCTCGTTATCAAATCTGAATCAACTCTTCTGTTGCAGGACGATTCAAAGAGAAGGCGTCAATTCTTCACAAAATGGCCAAGAAGAAGTGTAAAGAAGATGCAGCCAGTGCCAATGGTGTAGGTGTGTACCTGTGACAATGTTGTGGCAAGAACAATAAGGAAGACAGGAAGTTCCAACAAAGTTCAGTCAGGTCATCTGGACGATTTCCTTTTTTTTGTTGTTGTTGTTGTTGTTGAGATGTTTCGTCCTTCATCCAAAGGACTTCATCAGTCTGAGGAGCCACAAACAAACTCAGTAGCAGCACAGTCCCATAGTGGAGCAACCAGTTTACTGGAGATAAGATGGTTTTTGGGGCCCGCCCTCTCCCCCGTTGACTCATCTGAGGCAGCCATTGCTAAAGTGGTTCAAAACAAAACCACAACAACCACACACAAAAAAAGAAAAGAAAAAGAAACCGTCCAGATGACCTGATTGAACTTTGTTGAATTTTTTTTTTTACCTGGATTATTGAACATGAAATTTTGAAGACAGGAAGTTGTTGGTTTCTAACGATTTTTTACAAAATAAATGTCGAGCAGAGCCTTCTGAGATCGATCCAAGCAGCAGAATCTGTAGAACCTCAGATTGTCACAGAGCGTTCATTTGAACAGATGTGACCAGATCTAGAACTATACAGGACACAACCGTTACACCCACGAGGACGTCTCACTCTCCGGTCTGAAGAAAACCAAAGAATAACCCATTTACCTTTAAAATGTATCATTAAGGCGTGATTGGTGATAAATTACTGATTAATAGTACACCAATGTGTCAATTCATAAAGAGTTCAGTTTGGTATTTTCTTTCAGTTTTGTGTTGATCAGCACATTTTTTTCAATTTCCTGTATTTTTAAGTTATTTTGTGCTTACTTAATAATTGATTTAAATTTAAAAGTTTTTAAAGCATTTTGACAAACAAAAAAAACAAACATGGCTGCACAAAAATGTTCTATTAGCAACATTCATGTGATTTACATGAACTGATTTCACACTGTTCTATCAACAAACAGACTGATTTTAGATCAGACGTGGGCAACTTAAGGCCCGAGGGCCAAAAGCGGCCCTTGGACAATCTCCATCAGGCCCCCCAATATCCCTAGTTAAAAAAAACAACTTTGTAAATAAAGATTTTTTTAAAGCAGCAATTTATCAATGAGACTTAAGGAAATTTAAACTAAACATCTTACGCAAAACTTAAAAAAAAAATTTAAGTCATTGTGTTTCCAGAACGAGACTGAACCTTAAAGTTTTAGAAACACCAATATATATTTTTTTGCATAGTTCCACTAACATGTATAACATGTTAAGCTAACATGTAATAATGTCACAAGAGCCAGTTGACAGAATATTTCTTATATTCCTAAAGGATTTTGGAAAGATGTGTGATAAAGCATACTAACTATGCTACAATAAGACAAAGCCTGAAAAAGGTTTAATTATCTGTCACAAAGAAAATTTATTTTCCAATTCTCTAGGTGGCCCTTTGGAAAAAAAAAATATTGCCCACCTTTGTTTTAGATGATCACCTCATAAGGCTTTACGTTGCCTGAAAGCTATTCCTTTTGATGAGGTTACAAAAGTAAGGAATTGTATTTCTTTTTTTATGTTTTTTTTTTTTTTTTTTATAACCCCAGGCATTGTTTTTATCCCTTTTGTCTTTTGAAGTTGAAAAGAAAATTCCCAAAATTTCAAAGGTTGAAGTGGAGGTCACGCCGCCGATGAACGGTGTCGCAGGAGGGGAGCAGGTGTGTCTTTTACGTCCATCCTTCCTTCATCAAGAAGCTTCAGAAACTTTAAATCAGACACATTTCATGAGCTGATTTACCTGATAACTAAAAGCAAAATGAAATATACCAAGGTTTGATGTTTTTAAAATATTGTCAGCACAGGTAAAGTATAAACCTTCCTCTGATTCACGTGTTCTCAGGAGGTCAAGGAAGAGGAGGATGAAGACCAGCCCCTGAGCCTTGCCTGGCCCGACTCCCTCAGGAAACGGCTCACCTACCTTGTCATCCTCCCCATCGTCCTCCCCCTGTGGCTGACGCTGCCTGACGTCAGGAGAGAGGTGAACATGCTCAGATAAAACTACTGCTGAACACAAATACTGCAGTACACCAGTGTACTGCATAGTAATGTTTTAAAATATTACACTTTATCGTGTTTTTAAATACGCTCAGTTTAAATAGACGGGTTTTGCTGCTTCTTTTACAATGAATATTATTGGTGTAAAGACTTCATACCGTAAAAAAACATGAGGCCAGGTAAATACGTGGAAATTACAGCTTTGTTTTTACTGAGTTTAAACTTGTGTTAGAAACAGCACAATTAATATGGTGACTGAATATTACGCAGCAGTTTTTTTTTCCAAGTAGCTGAGTCTGAGTAAAATGTAATAAACACATGATAAAGAAATGCACCAGTTTCAAATTGTACATCCAAACTTTTCTGGACTGTAACATAAATACAACATGGAAAGAGCTGATTCCCAAAGAAAACAAAAACATTTATAAATTCATTGAAAATTTGATACCATCCATCCATCCGTTCGTTCGTCCGTCCATCCATCCATCCATCCATCCTTCCATCCGTCCATTATCTTCCACTTATTCCAAAGCCGGGTCACGGGGGCAGCATCTTGAGCAGGGAGGCACAGACATCTCTTTCCACAGCCACCTCTTCTAGATCTACTAGGAGGACTCCAAGGTGTTCTCAGGCCAACTAGTCTCCCCAGTATGTCTTGGGTCTTCCCCAGGGTCTCCTGCCAGTCGGACATGTCCAAAGCACCTCTCTAGGGAGGTGCCCAGGAAGCATCCTTAGCAGATGCCTGAACCATCTCAACAGTTTCCTCTCGATGTGGAGGAGCAGCGGCTCTACTCCGAGTTTCTCTCGGATAACTGAACTTCTCACCCTATTTCTAAGGGAGAGTCCAGCCACCCTGCAGAGGAAACTCATTTCAACCATCAGTATCCTCAGTCTCATTCTTTCGGTCACTACCCAGAGCTCATGATCAGATGAGGGTAGGGAAGTAGACTGGAAATTAAACAGAGAGCTATGTCTTACAGCTCAGCTCCCTCTTCACCACAACGGACCGGCACAGAGTCCACAATACTGCAGCCGCTGCACCAATCCGTCTGTAAATCTCACGATCCATTCTTCCCTCACTCAGGAACAAAACCCCGAGATACTTGAACTCCTCCACTTGAGACAGAATCTCACCCTTTGATTCAAAATTTGATGCCATCAAGATTTTTACAACATGCTTAAAAAATGTTTGGATGGGAGGAGCCAATGCTTGCACAAAGAAATAGTAACAGTAAATGGCCAGCAACTGGTCGAGGAAGAGGTTTTATTTTAGAAGATGATATAAGGAGGAAATTAGCTTTCAAAACTGTTCAATGGAGAGAGGTTAAGAAGACAAGCCTGTGATCGTAAGGTCCCCAGTTCAAATCCCCCTGATTTTAACATCAAAACGTGAAAGGCGAAGCACCCATCTGCTCCCCTGGGCTCCCTAGATGGCATCTCTCCTCCACTCGTGAGGGCTGTGGTAGCTCGGTGATCTGTGGTTGCGTCAGGAAGGACATCCGGCATAAAACATTTATCAAGTCTTTGTGTGAGTTCACGCGCTGTGGCGACCCCTGAAGAAGGGAACACCCGAAAGAAAAAGAAGTTTCAAGCTAACAAAAACCACAACAATAATAACAATAAACATTTAGAACACCAAGAACCTGAAAAATTAGAAAATTAAATGATTATTAAAAATTATCCAGTTCTCAGCCACCACTTAGTTTCAAAATCTTTCATCTATAGAACTCTACAAAAAAAACATTTATGTTACATTTTAGTTTTAATGCAACAAGAGCTTGTTGGGCTTTTTTAAATTTTACAAATACTGAGTTTGAATAATTTGAAAATATTTCTAATATATGGGTATATGGAATCATGGATCAAGCATACTGATAGTAATGTGAGAGATTATTACCTGAGCTGAAACTTTGAGTTGACCGTGTTAACCAGAGTCATCTTCTTATTTCATTCCAGACCTCTGAAAGATTCTTTCCCATCACTTTCCTCGGGTCCATTTGTTGGATTGCTTTCTTCTCCTACCTGATGGTGTGGTGGGCTCACCAGGTGCGTGATAGACACACTCACTCAAGGTTTGAGTCTGATGAATAGCTGTTTATTATATTGGGATGAATTGTAAACCAAAGGGATCCAAGAATGAAACCATGAGGTGCACCTTATTGATTCTGAGCATCAGTGTTAATTTTGTGCTTGAAATAAAAAAAAAAACATTTTGCATTTTGATTCTCTGCAGGTTGGAGAGACTTTCTGGATCACAGAAGAGATCATGGGTTTGACCATATTAGCGGCTGGCACCTCAATCCCTGACCTGATCACCAGTGTGATCGTAGCACGAAAAGGCCTCGGAGACATGGCCGTGTCCAGTTCAGTGGGCTCTAACATCTTTGATATCACTGTGGGGTGAGTCCACCAGTAAACAAAACTTAAGAACACAAAGTTAATGGGAGGAAAAGTTTAACCAGCTTTCTGTTTGAAGGTTTTAGGTATCAAGGCTAAAACATATTTCAAATCTAACATCGTGTACAAAAACACACAAAATATTTCACTATTATGATTTAGTAGTTCAATGATCTTGAGCACACGTGTTAACTCCATGCCAAGACAGAAAGGTATCAGCAATAACCTCAGTCTAGTCAACCCCTTGGACAGTGGTCTGCAACCTTTTTGATCAAAAGAGACACTTCTGCCACTTGGCTCAATAAATACAATGTGTCTGGAGCTGCAAAACCTGCTTATCAACTGGTGGCCCATGGGCCGCCGCTTGGAGGTCGTTGGAGGAGGGCTTTTCTGGACAGCTGGGGTAACATTATAAAACTAAAAATATACTGTATAATAAATGGTTACATTTATTGATATTTTGATGAATTGTAAACCAAAGGGATCCAAGAACAAAACCATGAGGTGCACCTTATTGATTCTGACCAAAAATAGGGGAAAAAATGTTCTCTGCAGGCTTATGTGAGTCTTTTTTTCTGACTTAAAATTAAGTATACTGTACCACTTGGAAGTAATAAAACATAAATTTAAAGTAAGCAGAAAAATTTGGCCTTTTGCTGAACAAGTTAATGATTTTTTTCTTTTAATTTTTGAGAGAACATAAGCCTGGATGTTGGATAAATTAAGTAGGTAAATGTAATCATATTTCGCTCAAATTTACCAAAAACTAACACAACAACAAAAGCTAAAACTCGCATTTTCTGTTGTGGTATAAAGAAAAAAAAAACAATTAAATACAGTATCACGTTAGTTTTGGTCAAAACCACAAAGGGCCACAGACGAGAGACTAAAGAGCTGCATGTGGCCCCAGAGCCACAGGTTGCAGACTCCTGCCTTAGGAGTTCATTATTCTACAGCGAGAAAGATTATTCATAATTTAGTCCACAAAACAATTATGAGCAAAAGTCCGAACAATTTTTTTTAATTACTTTATTTTACCAGGAGGAAATCCATTGAGATCATCAATCTCTTTTACCAGGATGTCCTGGACAATATGCAAATACAGCAACACAGTCTTTAAAACGGTAACAATAGTATTAAAATAGTTACAACAAAATATCCATTAGTAAAACATAAAATGCAATGCAAGTAAAATAAATAAATCACAATTTAAGACACTTAGACATTACAGGTGCAAGATGTGACTAAAACCGCAGACATTTTTTTGTTTAAAATTAGTTAAAGATATAAAAGACTCGAACCTAAACTTAAGCTGCAGATCATTCCAAGACCATGGGCCAAAATAGGACAAGCTCATCTTTGCTGACTCCTTGCGCACAAAGGGCACCTTAAACCGCAGCCAGCCCTGAGACGGTGTGTGTTTTGGAGTGAAATTAACTTGGAGTTGATGTATGATGGTAATTTTCCTAAAATAGCTTTGTATATGAAAATATACCAATGCTTCATCCTTCTAATATTGAGTGAAGTAAGTCCAGTAAGTGCATATAAAGTACAATGGTGAGTTTTAAAAGGTGAGCCTGTAATATACCTCAGCGCAGCATGATAAATGGGATCCAGTTTAAGGAAGTGGGGGAGGCACATCTATAGATTGTGTCTCTGTAATCCAGCTGTGATAAAAACAAACTTGTTACAAGCCGCTTACGGGAAGAAATAGAAAAACATGATTTCAATCTATACAAAAGACAGAGTAAATTTTAGCTTTTTTTTTTTTTTTATTAGACATGGCTTGTTTGAAAGTGCTGCAATTTGAAGAACAAAATTTCATCTGAATGAACCAGAAGATCATAGAAACAATGTCCTTTGGATATCCTGATGCATGCTCAATAATCCAGGTAGAAAAATCTAAAAAAAAGTTCAATCTGGTCCTCTGGACATTCAAAAATGTCCTTTGGACTGATAAGATAAAAAAGGACGTTTACCCATAATTCACAGCAGCATGGAGGGGTGTGTGTTCTTGTTCTCACAACTATAAAATAATTAAAAAAAAAGATAAATATTTATACAAATATAAATGTTCAAACTAACCAGCTGTTGTCTCTCTGCAGGCTGCCGTTCCCGTGGCTCATCTTCAACATCATCCACGACTTTAAGGCTGTGGAGGTAAGCAGCAACGGCCTCTTCTGTGCCATCGTCCTCCTCTTCCTCATGCTCATCTTCGTCATTGTGTCCATCGCGGCTTGCAAGTGGAAGATGAGTAAGATTCTGGGCTTCCTCATGTTCTTGCTCTACTTCGTCTTCCTGGTCATCAGCGTCATGCTGGAGGACAGAATTCTCGTGTGTCCTGTCACCATCTGAGGGAGGGACTCCTGATCGACTGGAAGCTCAGATTTACTATAAGAGTGCAATATTAAACTGCCTGTTGTCTGTCTCACATGCACACAGTAGATACTGTACTGTATACACACACACACACACACACACACACACGTTGATATAAGTTAAACAGGCGTTGTGATGGAAATCGACTTTTTGCAGGTTCAAGCTGTTGCGTCACAACTTTTTGACAGAGGCACACGGGTGTGTACTTTTACTACATTAGGCCAAGCAGTGAGCAGACTTCGTTTGTACCACGTGGCTACAGTTTGTTGCCACGGCTGGTTGAAACCTGCTGAAACAACCGGAAGATAGTGAACGCAACTCAGATCGGAAGCTGACGTTGCAGAAGACTTTCTCTTTCTAACTATGAGACTGTTTGAGGCCGTGAGAACGGCCGCCACTCATGGAAGCGATGAAGTTAGGAGTGTAAACTTGGCCTGGACGTGTTTTTGTTGTTTAAAATCCCAAAGCTGGATGACAGCACAAAGGCAACACATTATAGTGGCTGATTTATAAACTTTCATTTAAACCAAGTAAGGATGAAATGTCATAGACAGAAACTGTTCATTGTTAAAAATCTGTTTTCAGACTCAGTTACATGTTGAAGGACACATTTTGGAGGAAACAACTATTGTTTATCCCATTCATAATATAGTGCAATACTAAATAGTAACATTCCTCAGGATTTTTGTGTATTTATTGATCCGATTCTCTAATTTAGACGTGGGCAACATATGGCCCGTGGGCCAAAAGTGGCCCTTGGACAACCTTTATCCGGCCCTCAATATTTTTAATTGAAAAGAAAACAACTTTTAAATAAGTTGGTGAAAACCTGCATTTTATCAATGAAGCTTAAGTCTAAATTAAACATCTTGGACATTTACATCAAAACTTATGGATTAAGCAATGCCAAAACCTTTTTCCTGAAGTCGTTCCAGATCTAGACTGAATCTTAAAGACTCCAAAAAGCAAGTATATGTTTTTTTTATTTTTTATTATTATTATTTTTTTTTTTTACACATACTGTCTCAAGAGTCACTTTACAAAGAATATGTCTTATATTCCTAGAGTATTGAGGAGACATTGTTATCAAGCATGCTAACTTTGCTACAACAAGACAAAGCTTGAAATAAGTTTTACAGTTTATCTTAAAGAAAATCTATTTATTTTTTCTCTATGTGGCCCTTCGTTTGCTTTAAATACCTTGATTTGTCCCTCTGGAAAAAAAATGTTGCCCACCTGGATTTTGGTTCTTGGACAATAAGTGATGGCCAAAAAACTAACACTCTGTTCATTTTTCTTGTTTAACCTATCATTAGATGCTAAACAGTAAACAGTCAACGCTGGTTTTCTTTGGCTTTTTTTTTTTTTTTTACATAAAACAACTCATGTACTGAATATTCTGATTTTTTTTTTCTTGTTTGTATAAGACTGCAATTATTGATGAACTCCCTTTTATTATTACAAAAAAATTCTGGTCATGAGATAAATGTCTACCGTCCATGTGAGCAGGGATCAAATCAAACTTTTTGTTTCACAGCTGAATTTGTTTGTGGGAGGCTGAAACGATGTGCTTATGTAGATGTTTTCTCTTTTTTTTTTTTTCAAAAATTATAAGAAAAATGTTAAATTTTGAAGATTGTTGAGCTATTTATTATTCAATAAAAGTATATGTAACTGAAAAAAATGACCTTTTTTTGCTGTTTTCTTTCATTTAAGAAGATGATTCTATGCATTTGTTGATTAGTTATCAACAGTTTCCAAACTGCCAATAAAAATTTAATTTAATTCAGTTTATTTATATAGCGCCAAGTCACAACAGAAGTCACTGAACAGACAATAACTACATAAAATTGGTTTGAGGTCAATACATAAGGCTCAGTGTCAATTTTTGAGAAAATTAAAGGATTTTAAATGCAACTTATAGTCTGAAAAATACAGTAGTTAAACCTTTAGTTACTTCTGAACTTCCCTCATACTCATGAAACTTTTCCAACAGTTTAATCTGTTAACATTTAACACCCTGAACTTCAGAATATATAAAAAATGTAATCATGCAATTATGAAAGAGAATTATATGAGCACAGTATAAAAAATATATAATTTTTTCTTGAATTCTCGTTTTTTTCCTCAGATTTCTGAGATTAAAGTCAGAATTAAGTGAAAAATGCTTTATTTCCCCCCCATGGTCCTATAATCCTCTTCCGTTTGTAATAAAGTGAAAAAGCATCTCTGGAATAATTTGTACATCCTCTGAGAAATGTTTTCAAAGACAGTCAGTGCTTCTCAGTTATATCTTATAGCTTATTTTAAATTTCCCACAATGCAGGTTTTAAAATGGTCTCTTTTTCCACTACGATCTTAAAACAATAAGAGGAAAACATTTTCAACATTTGTTGTTTTTGTTTAATTAATTAATTATTATTATTATTTTATTAAACTCTGGATTTGAAAGTGTTTTGTCTAATGTACCGTTGTGATGCTTTTTCATTTTACATAGACATTTTTTTTAAACCTTTGGATTCTAGTTTTTCTGTATTAACAAGAATTTAAATTCTACATTAATATTTTACCTAAACCATTTTTTTTTTATATTTTCAACTATTTTCCCCAAATTTAAATAAAATTATCATTTTTAAAAAAGACGACACCAACTGTTCTTGATGTCTAAAGGTATCTTTGATTCCTGGTGTTTATATTTATGAACATTTTTTTTAATTATAAAAATGATGACCTGAAATGAAAAATACTTCTTCCAGCTCATTGAACACTTCACGTTTCTTTCCTCACACTCCAGATCAGATTTAGCTTCTTTATATCATTTCTGTTTGGTTTTTTCCTTCATTCTTCTTCTTTTCATTTTCACTTAGTTTTTCTGGATTATTTGAATGTAAAGAATGTTTGAATGCATTTAAAACTGTTTATAAGAATAGACAAAAAGGCCCTCATGTGTTATGTATGTAAGAAATCGCAATTGTACCACTTGAATCCTGTTCTACACTGTAAAACATAATTTATCTCTGTAAAGTGTTATAATGAAATACATAAAATAAAAATCAAACAGTTTTAGAACAAAGCTCTGGGAGGGGGACCTATGTGGTTAAGTGTTGCTCTCTGCTAGGACTGCAGGGATCATTTAATCAGACATGACATGAGTCTGTCCTCAAAAAGCCCATGAACCATAAAGGCTTCGGTGACATTTAAAACAACCTGCTCGTCAAATCATGTTTTCCATGAAGCTGCTAAACTTGGGCTGTTTATCACTTCAGCAATGAAGTACAATAAATGTCATATTCACTGCGTCACATGTCAGAAATTTAAATATAAAGAATCATAATTATAGCTTTCTTACATCACCAGTGGTTTGCAGTGTCATCAATCAGTAAGTGAGGAGCTTTACTTTGACACAAGCTCCTTAGAGTGCTATATGCATGGCTTACTGCCATTAAACCGCAATGGGACACGGATTACCTGGACACCCGAGGACAACCAGAAATGGACACATGAGCTCATGTGCTCTTAATTTTAATCTGCGTTTGTCTACAGTGAAAACTGAGGACACGGACAACGTAAAGACAAATGTCAATGTGTGTCAAGCTGATAGTTCAGTCACTTTGACCTGTGAAAATGTAGCAGCTGCAAATTAGATTTCAGTTCTTTGATGAGGTACTGGTGAAAAATAATGTTTAGATGTGATTAGTTGATTGGAATTTGTCCTGTAAAAGAATGAGCGCATTATTTAATGTTCTTTTATGTAATTTTGGAGTGTTTTTTTCCCGTAAATGAACTATAAAATCTATTCACTTTCTCTGGGGTTCTAAAAGGTTGTTCTATAAATTGATCATAAAACCAAGTGTCCCTGATTCATTCTGATACAAGTACAGTCCAACCAGTGCAACAAGGGTAGGTGCCCTGCAATGTGCTGATATCTAACTCCTGTGAAACAAGAATAATAGATGCTAAGAGAGCATGCATCTATCTATAAGCATCAGGTGTTTCAAAGAAATGTAAAAAAAAAATAAAAATGGAGCTACTAGAAATACATCCCACTACCACAGTAGCTTTTGTGATGCTTACTTTTGTTCTTGACTGAATAAAAACATAAGAACAGATGACTGAAGGAATCGGTCAGGATAGCCAATGAGATTTATACTTAAGAGAGTAAAATATTGAACTATATGCATGTTTTGAAAGTTTCATCCATCCATCTTTTACCCTCGTCTTCTTTTTTGGGTCACGGGGTCATTGGTGCCCAGTCACTGTGCGAGAAGCAGAGGACACCCAGGTCGCAAGTCCATCACAGGGACACATAGAGACAAACGAGACAAACAACCATTCACACTCTCACTCTCACCTAGGGACAATTTAGAGTTACCAATCAGCCTAACATGCATGTTTTTTTTTATCTGTGGGAGGAGAAAACCCACACATACATGGAGAAAACATGTAAACTCAACACAGAATGCCCTGTATAGAAAAGTTACAAAGTTTAAACTTTTTTTCACAGTTGACTTTAATATATTATGTTCTGCCAAACGCAAAAATTCAAAAATAGTTCATAATAGTTTAGTGATAAAAATATAATTCATGTAAAAAATTTAAAAAAAAAGATGTCCATTTAGCTAATAACTTGAATACAGTCCATGTTGGTTCATCTGTATTTTATTTTGAAGGTGAATTCTGAGGTTATGAGGGAAAAACGTTACAGAGAAAAACCTGCCTGTTTAAACTTCACCTCCTTTGTCCTAAATCTTTATTTACATCTTCAAGATAAAATATAAACCAGCACTGACTGTATAGAAGTTATTAACTAAATTATAATGTTTAACATGAATTATCTGGACAGTTAACTATTATGAGCTATTTTTAACCTAATGCGTTGGGCAGAACATATTTTAATGAAAGTGGTTTTGCAAAAAAAAAGAAGAAGCTATTTTCGCACTTCCGGCCGCCAGGGGGCAGCAATGCATTTAACATACAAATATCGACAGAACAACGGAAGCTCACAGGGGACAGTAATAATAGCAATACATGGCGGAACAGCCTAGACGTTCTGTACGGTTCATCTGCCATAAATGAATTCACAGTAATATTTGGCGGAGCAGCATGGACTCGTCCGAATCATGCGGAACCGACGCTGCCGTTCCCGCGCCGGAACCGAGCCCGAAACCCGAGCTCTCTGCCGCGATGCGGGCTAAAATCGAGAGGAACCGTCAGCGGGCTCTGATGCTCCGGCAGGCCCGACTAGCCAGCCGCCCTTTGTCCGCCTTGGAAGGCGCAACGTCGGCTACAGTTTCCAAGACTATCGACTCCGGTGCGGGGTTCTTCATCGAGGAGGAGGAGGACGGAGGGGATGAGCAGAAAGCGAAGAAGGTGGTGCACCAGCCAGGTGTGTTGTGGTGTTTGTCACTTGAACGTGAGCGTGTTGAACTCTCCACACCAGCTGTGTTGTGTGTTTTTGCTGTCAGCCCCGGTGATTGAAGCAGAGTACCTGGTGTGTGAAGACTGCCACAAACCCTTCATGGACTCGTTCCTCAGCAACAGCTTTGCCGTGTCGGTGTGTGACAAATGCAGGTACAGACACAGAAGAACCCAGACCCATTTCTACTTTCATGAAAATGATGGGGGTTATAAATTATAACACATTTCTGAAGTTTTTTTTTATTTGTTTTTTAAATACCTCCACCTACTGGCACAGATCTGAAATGTGACTTATGTATCACATTGGGCGTAATTGGTAAATTTATTCCGCATTTGGAAATAGATATCCATAAATTGTCATGCTTAATTTTATTTAAATATGATTTAAAATGGACAACAAAAATATATTTATCCAAAATAACAAAATGAGCTAAAGTGACCAAGCAGATGATTAGTATTTGTTTTATTGTGTTAAATATGTCACATGGAATTTTTTGTGTACAATTTAGACTTTATTG